AGGAGAGGCGAGAGGAGAGGAGAGATGAGAGGAGAGAGAAGAGAGAGGAGAAAAGAGAGAGGAAGAGAAAGAGAGAGGAGAAAAGAGAAGGGAGGAGAAAGAGGAGAAAGGGATGACCCCGCACCTACGTCTCCTAAGTGGTTTCGCTTGTGGGGTGTTATTATCATTGCATGTACGTGACACGTGTCTGCATTCGGGTTCGTGGCTCCTATCTGGTTGTCAAAAAAGCAAGCCGCAAAACCTGACCTTGTGGGGTTTACCAGCCTCATCTGGATGCATCACCTCGAATCCTAGAGATTTTAAATCTGAAATACTAAGCACCTGCACTTAAATAAGCCTTGAAACTTTCAGTTTTAGACCACGAACTACATGATGTATTTCTTCATGAGGAACGCATGTCCATTAGTCCTAGGTCCTAGGGGGAAGCATTGACTGTAGCTCGCATGAGTTCTGAAGCCCCAACCAGGATTGCCAGCCTTCCTCGTTGGAACGCTGGCTGCCCTGGTGGCTGGCGGACTTTCCGCAGCCCGGATTTTACCTGCCTGGAGCGGCGGACTGCGGCAGTGCCTGGACATGATGTGCAAGTGTTTTTCAGTCGTTTCACAGCGGAATTACAGGCTATAGCAGTGGCTAAGCAACAGTAAAGCCTGCCCTGACGTACCAACCACCATGATATGCAAGAAGCATTCAGGGATTTTGCAGAGGCCATACACGCCCTACATTGCGCTTGAATAGAAACTTGTGAGGCTTGCAGGGGTTTAATCAAAACCATGCTGTTCTTTTGCTCGGGTCGCACAAGAGGGATTGAAATGTAGTGTACCCTTGGCTTGAGAGATGCCACGACTACAAACATGGAAATACTGCAGCAACGCACGGTACGAAGGATGCTGAGGGTCTGGGGTCGCAATCTAGGACATGTTGATCCAGTTGCTTGCCTGACGAACATCCGTTATGTTCACAGGAAAGTGATCCGGTAGCAGCGACATGCGGCTTTTTTCAATACTGAGTGCCATGAGGACACTTAGGGTGTACAGGGTACTAGGGCTAGAAAAGGATGAGCAACTCATCTTTGGATGATGTCTTTTTGTTTGTATTCGACTTTCAGTTCTCGCCTTGAGCAGTCATGTTTGTGAGCTATGAGGTTGCAAGTTCAAGGTCATGATCCCCCCCTCAGTCTGAAATCCTCAGCACCCTCACCCTAAACAATGGGAGGCCCTCCTCAGGGTGAGGCTCCTTGCATCAATATTGACCAAACCTAATGATGGCTCCTTGGGAGGGAAGATAAATGGGATATGGGTTAGGAGGACCCCTCACCCTGTAATAGTGGTATAACAGGACTATAAGAGGACCCCAAAAGAATTACCATTATCCCTTCTAGTCACCAGTGCTGGGTGGGGGGTCCACCCAAGATATGGGATTCTTCTAAGGGCTTTAAACGGTTGGCTATTCAGGATCCCACCCTGACCGCCAGTAACTTGGATGCTGTCCCCACTCAGCAACAGATGGATGATAGTGAGATAATGTGAATATATCATATTGTATATATGGCCCTTGATATTATTCAGATTCCCCATGTTATTGACTGTTACTGGGTGGGGCCAATACCCAACCAATAAGTAACATCACATGCCTAAATCAGATATCTAGGGTTGTTGTAGGCTTGGAGCTGGTGGATCCACTGCCACTGTCGGCGTGTAGAAAATTACCAATTTTACGGTACCAGGCTTCTTGTAAGTATGTAAATGTAAAGGTACCTTAATGGATTTCAAAAGGGTACAGCAAGGTAACGACTGACGTTACCTTCCAAATAGCGGGCACCGTCTGAAGGAGCTTGAACAAGCAGTAGAAACAGTGGCAGGCATGGGCGTAGGATTAGTAATGATATTGTGGGATCCATATGGAAAATTCAAGAAGTACACCATCTCTCGTGCTTTATGGAGGCTACATAACGTTTTTTTTTTCTGAACCGCTTCATGAATATTGACTAAGATTATGCCTGATTTCTCACGGTTGGACAAAACATGGATGTGTCCCCTCGGACCGAGCCATTGCAGACAACACAACCTTTCGTCCTTTAGCAGGCTGGGATTTCCATCTATCCCTTGGTAGGATCCAAGGCCAAGAGTCTAGATTCCGCGCCTGCACAGCCGTAGGCGGTAGTTTCACAACATTAAGGGTACCATTTGGTGTCTGTACTGGGGTCCCTGCATTTTTGGGAATCATATGATCTATAGTCGAAACTCCTTAAAGGGGATTACATAGGGGATTCTATAGGGGAGTATTATAGGGGTGATTAAGGAGGATACTAGGAGTTTAGACTATAGCACACATACTGAAAGTACAACCCCCGGACCCTCAACCTAAAACCACCTGGTTCAGGGTTCGGGCGTGACGCGTTGGCAGTGAATCAGTGGATGAATTCCTGAAGTAGTTCCTGTTCAATCCCTGAAAGCAATCCCCATCGTCCATTCCGCCATCTTCTGCTAAGCGCAGGGGAGAACAACAAAAGGTTATATCATGGTTGTATGGATCTCTTATTAGAAGAAGTTGCATCTTGACAACTGTCAGCTTTGTTGCTTCCCCATGTTGAAGCTAGGCAGATAAGGGCAGCGTGGTGTGAATCAGTTGTTTCAAAATCTGGCGCCTAGGAAACATTGGGTCACACGAGTGACCAGCAACACACACAACCCACAGTTCTGAAGCCTTGCTGGACCTCAATGTAAGGTCCTCCCCTTCGGAAATCCATCCTGACAGTTAAAACGCATCTCTACCTATCTGCAAGGTATGTTTGGTGCACGCCAGCTGGGACGTTGGCCTATTATCTGACACTGCTCTTGTGGCGACGAAAGAAGAAGGTGGGCATAATTCAAGAACGAAACAGCATTTCCATCCTGCAGGTTGTCGATTGTATCCGTGCCTCTGCAGAGGTAGTAGCTCTTCTCACTATCTCAATAGTGTCGCTGCTACTGCTACCACTTTGAATACGTGTGCTGTTATTCGTCGTAGTACTAGTACTGCTACTAGTAGTAGTGAGGCTAGACCCTTCTTGCATGCATGCACAAGTTGCGCCCCGCACCCTCTTCTTCACATTGTTCTGAGAATTCCTGTTCCGGATGGGCTCCAATGGACACAAAAAATTCAACCACTTCCCCGTCCCCACGTCAGTTATCAACGTTGACAAGGGGTTACGGAATTGTTTCTTCCGCCGGCCTGCTTGATGTCTCATTATCTAGGGGTGCAAGCAAGACTTCCTCCATCCATCCTAGTGTCAGTACGAGTACCCGCTAGTGTTCGGGCTGGGGTTGCAACAGCATTCACTGCAACAGGTATTACTTCTGCAATGACTATGATTGAAGTTAGTACAATCACAAATTACCATTACGAAGCACTTACTGATTGCTATTGGGTACACTTCTGACCCGGAAGGCTCATCTGAAAGCCTTACTTGAATAAGCTACTGCAAACCTCAGCGCCCCAGTGCTGAGTGTTGGGGCAGCCTTCCCCTAATTGAAACCACTTCAGCCAAGAAGCGATAGCAAAATTCTTCTCACTAGCATTAGTAGTGGCAGAAGCCGGCGTAGGAGCCATGGAGGTATTCGGATAACTCATCCACAAACATAGCGGTGTTTTGGATTTTTTTCTGCGGGCGGAACCCGAGGCATGCATGGTGTTTGCGAAGGCATTGCAGTGGTTCTCAATTGAGGATTGACATGAGGTCCTTTCGAGAAGCTCCCACATAAAGCTCCCTTTGGGTTGAGATAATTTTCCTTTTGCTACAAGGGGTTAGCAAGTAATAGGGGAGAACATGATCCCCACATAATCCCTACATAATATAAGTATATATGATTTATTTTCCCGTATGCCCTACTAACCCCCAGGAAGTCTTGAACCGGAGTGGAGATCTAGCTCATGGGGCTTTGTTGTAGTTCCTTTTCGGTTTGTGCTGGGAATGGGAACATATCCTCATGACTCCTGGTTGGAATTGTGTTTCTCTTGATTTCACGAAAGTAATGCAACTGAGCAGCACAGCCACCCTTACTGGGTTTAGGGATTATATGATAGACGTCATGCCCTCCTATACTGGCACTACTGGCACTAGCACCTTTGCCACAAGCACAAAACAGGCTTCCTAATCCCTCAACCCTAAACCCTAAAATTATTGCGTATATGATCCCCACACTGTCCGGGCTGCTGTTGCCATCACATCAGTCTTTGTGACTGTCGGGGTAACGGATCATGGGTTTTGGGAAGAGGTTGGGTTAGGCCCCTGTCTGATACTAATGTTGAACAAGAAAATCCTGAAGCAAAAGTATGATTCCAAATATCCCGTGTTGGTCACTAGTAGTAGGCGGGAGCTTAGCCTAGGGCAGAGGTTTGCGGATCCTGATTACAACAGCCGTTACATCTATCCTGGCTGCTGTTCCCTAGGCCCTAAACCCTAAACAGTCTTGAGGATTCGGGGTAACCCTAAACCCTAAACCCCTAAACTCCCTAAACCGTAGCTTGGATCAGAGTCGCCTGTTTCAGTCTTGTGTTGTAGGGTCTCCGAGCCAGACCATATCCTAAACGCAAACCTCACTTGAAAACCTATCCTCTGTTTCCCAACCCAACCCTGAAGTCCCCAACCCTAACTCTTTTTTCCCTGATCAAAGGCCTTTTATCTAAACCGACCACCAGGTCTTTCTCGATATCGCCTGCATCAACCAGGAAGATGGTGGCTTGAAAGCTGAAGGCCTGATCAGCATGGGCGCTTTCTTGAAGCGCTCAAAGTCATTCCTGGTACTGTGGGACTCCACCTACGTCTCAAGGTGCCTTGGATAGAGGGTTCAGGGTTTAGGGTTTAGGAATTTAGGGTTCGGGAATACGGGTTTACATCTCAAGATGGTTCTGAAAGTTGTGCAGGGTCTAAGCTGGATGAGCTTGTGCGGCTATAGTCTAAACTCCCAGTATCCCGCCCTATATGTAATACTCCCTGGATTATCCCCTATATTCTAGACTTTAGATTATAGATCATATCCTGCCACCCCCAAAAGAGTACCCCAATTTTTTGGGAAACCCTCAGTTGGTTGCTTTGCGGTCTGGGTGCTCCTAAAATGGGGGCTATTGTATTTTGGGGTATGTCACAGGAGCCCGAAGCTTTGGAAGCACTAATCTTATGAATCTCTGCTTTTGTAATCACCACCAACATGATGTTTGAAATGATAAAGTGCAAAGGCCCTGAGTGCAGCAATGAACCCCGATAGTAACAATAGTCCCCATGTCGTGACTACGCCCTACACCGTAAAACCTGCGGCAGTTTCCATGTGTTAAACCGTAAACTTCCCTAAACGTAAAGCTATATTGGCAGTTTCTGTATTCTTTTCCACTTCCTCGTTTCCTGCTGTAACGAGCACTAGGGAGTGAACTCCTAGACGCCCGTAAGGTTGCGCCGGATTTGTTGCAGTTGTGTCTGTTTGTGGATTTTTGGTCTGGGTAGGTTGATACAATCTAAGGAGCGGATCACATCGGGTTAGAGACTAGTCTTAGGCATGCTTTTTCTTACCTGCCAGACCTTATTCAGGCAGACCAGCCCACACCAGTTTTCCGGGTTGCTGTTGATATGAGGTATATAGTACATAATAGGGTTCCCTCATTATTATGGAACCTTAAATTAAGTTCCGTAACAGCAACCCAGAGCCCAAGCCCTCAGACCCCACCTCATTCCGCATCCTTGCTGGCCTCAGACATCTACAGCCCTATGCTGAAGCCCTAGAAAATATCAACCCCCGAAACCATGCCTCTTCCAACCCGTGAATCAGTGGTATATCAACCAGGTTGTTGCAGTTTGGAGAAGACCTCATGATTCCGAGGATCAGTAACCATGCGCTTTCGAACTTCAACTGCGCAATGATACGCTGTTTGACACGCAGCGTTGGGCTCCGTCACGGGAAGTCTTTCCCAATCTGTGCCACTAAAACCATTAACCTCTGACCCCCCAAGCCCCTCAACCTGAAACCTCCAAATCCTTTTTACTGCTTGCTGAAGGTTGTGGTGTATGTTCGAGATGGCGGCGTTCCTGCGCAGCCATGAGTTGGACAAGGGTGCGGAGGAAGAGGGGTTTAGGGTCTAGGGTGTGTCTCCTTCAAACAGGAATACTCGGGGGCTCAGGGTATGTCTTCAAGGATTCTGGTGGTTGGGCGGCGGGTTGGACAAAAGTGTTGTAACCAGTATATGGTTAGCAGACTTGTTATGCAGGAGGAGATGAGTATCCTCTCCTTGCGCATCATGTTGAAGATGTTGCTGCTTCTTTCTTGGTTTCCTCGGGCTTGTTGTGGGGACGGAAGCTTGAGAATGCACAGGTCATCTTCGGTGTTGAGTCAGGTTTTGCAGGTTTCAGGGTGGACCGTTTTTGAGAATCAGGTGTCGGGTTTTGCGGAGCACTTCACTTTCTTGAATGTGCGCATGGGCTTCGCTTGTTCCCCTAGCTGACAAAGGCATCTGATCAGTGGACTTTGCTCCAACTTGTAGATCCTGAAGGCCCCAGATAGGTCAGGGAAGCACCTCGGTGCCCTCAAGCAGGTCCTTCGCCGGGGCTCTGGCCTATTCGGGGTGAAATTAACCATGGTAGACCGCAAAATCTGGCACTCTCATGCCCTTAACCCTGAAGTTCACCTTCTGCACCGAAAAATCCTTAACTTCTACACCAAAAATCTTAACCCCGTAGGCTCGAAATCTGATGCCCAGACATCCTTACGTTTTGAAAATCCCGCTGCAACCTCAGGCCGCAAACTGCCTGACAGAGTGTTTTGAGGGTTTCTGGCGGCTAGGATGTAAAGTTTATCAGGTTTAGGGCTCAAAGGTTTTTGAGGTTTAGGGTTCACAGGGTTTAGGGTTCCAATCCTTGAGCCCCAACAATTAGACCCTTCAGCCTGATATCCTAAACCTTAAACTTTAAACTGCGTCCTGATAGGAGAGTTTGGTGGTCTGCCCAGTCTTCGTAGGCCCGGCGCTTCTGATCGGCCACTTAGGCCTGTGCACGCTCTTCATGCTGTACCTCTTCTCGCCGGTGCCCAAAGAGAGAGTCGAAAACATTTGATTTGAAGTACATGTGGCGCAAGTCTTTTATGGCCTGAACAGGGCATTTTGGGGTGGATTAGCTCAGCTTTCTATTGATTCTGGTTTGCCACCTGTCCTAAACCCGGAACCCGAAAGCAACTTCTGGCAGGTGCCACAAATCCCATGGGGCGTTTTGTTCATCTGTGGTTTGGCCTTTCCGTGCCTGACGCTTTTCACCTTTGCCATGATCGCTCATTGCCGCAGCATCGATATAATTCAGAAGCAGGTTCAGAACTTTAGTATTGACAACTCTTGGAGCCAGTGCTGTGCCTGCGGTCACGTTGTGCCGGACAGCGGTGAGCAAATGATCTGCGACCGCACCATTATTCTTCGTTGCATTGCTGCTTGGTTTGGTTCCACGGAAGGTTTCGAGAGCACGGTGCGAGGTAAGGTGCAGACAGTCCTGGTCCATCAGCTTACGCATCGAGTCTTCTCGTACCTTGGCTTGAATTGGAAATCGTTTCAATTTCTGTTGCCCAGAAATCCCATATTACTGGTCGTTAGTCTAATCGGAAATCTGCGAAGGCCCGCTGATCTTTTCAATCAAGAGCCCCAAACCCTAAGACTAATACACTGACGGCCACGACTTCAGTTTCAGGTACTGGCGTATAGTACAGGTGACAAGCCCGGCTTTGTGGGCATTTCTCGATTTCTGGAACACACAGGGGCATGGCTTTTTGGAGTACGCACTTTCGGCTGCGAACCTCTGCTTCTTGTTTTTGCCCTGCATTTATCTACTACTCCTTACCATGGCCTATAGGGTGCGCAACCTTTGCGGCTGGACATGCACACAGATGCTTCTGGCTGCTGGCCTGGTGGCCGTGGGGGTCACCAGCTTTGTTCTCTTCGTCATGGCGGGTGATTGCAGAAACGTTGCTAGTGGAAAGGAAGGGTTTTTTTCGGGTCAGCGTCAGGAAGGTCATGGAGATGATTATAGGGTTCCATTCCTTCATTCCCTTCTGCTGTAGGAGGTTTGACTTTAAGAATTGCGGCCTTGGTTTGCAGCTTGTATGAGGACGCTGCTGAATGTGGCACCTAACATGAAAGTTTGGTTTAGAGACTTTTGATGGGATGGAGACCTTGCGGTTGCAGTGTGGTCAATCTTTCAACCCTGACCTTCTATTCCTAGACCAGACCCTTACAGTCAGATTATTTTCATTCTCTACACCACTGTCGCCAAGAAGATGCCCGGTTACACGTTGAAGCTAGAGGACCTTTGGTAGCTACTTTTGAGGGGAACATTTCTGAAGTGCCGTCTTCTAGATCCAGCCCTCAACCCTACACTCTGAACACGATACCCGGCTCCCAAAACCTTAAAACTGAGACCTCGAAACATGCAGCAGACGAGCAGACCCTAAGCCAGAGAAAGCAAATCCCACGAAATGCTGAACTCTGCAAAGGGCAGCCTGCACTGAAGGAAAACATGTCGTATCTCCTTTTGTACACTGTGAGTGTAATCCCTCTAAAGTTTCCTCCTGCAACCTACGTGATTTGGAACAACAGGATCAGGGGAAGTAATGGGAGACGTGGGGCACCTGGACCAAAAGCTCGAACCCTAAAACCGGGCAGTAAAGATTGAAGGTCATTGGAGCACCTTATACCTTCCCAAGGAACAATGGAACAATGCAATGACAAACCCCTTATTTACATAGCTCCCAATGACCACTGCAAATTCTCCTGTTTTTTCATTTCTTAAGCCTCCAGGTGGAGAGGATGCTTCGCCAACTCCTGGCGAATGAAGTGCTTGCACGGCTTATCCTGCTCGTTGTGACTGGGAGGAGGACTCAAGGAACCACATATTTTCATGATTCAGGGTTCGGGGTTTTGAATGTAGAGTCCGCCCCATGTTTTAGGGCCCGGGTTTAGTTTCAGGCCAAAGGGCTAACATGGGCGTAAATTCGGATGCTGCGGGGGTCGCCGAGTTCCACATGTGTCCGGGACCCCACTGCTTCTTGATGGTCTTGCAATACATACTGATCCTTGCACTGACCTTAGTTTGCCCTGTTGATGTGTGGCATCTGTATGTACTGCAAGCCACAAGCGCAGGCACGGTAAAAAGCTTGGACCGATAGAAACGGGATCTCTAAGACTGGAGCGCTGTCAAGGAAGAAACCTTGTTATTTGCCATGCATCCATACTGCTTCAGCTTAAATTAAGTTGCTTAACACGCAAATGGATCCCTGTATAACCCCAGTTGCTATTTCATTTTCCATGTTCTGTTTCATTTAGTTTCCATTATGGTACCTCAACCCAAGGCTCTTAACCCTCGGCCCTAAACCTTCAGACCCCAACCCTAAACCCCCTAAACCCTAAGCCCATAGTAACTTGATTTGAGTTGCTGAACAGCAACTCATCAGATCCGGATCGATACTTGGGTCCGGGGGTTCAACCCAGACCTGAGGGTTTGGGCATCTGAAAAAAAAAAGGAGACTTTTTGGGGGAGTCTCTATCATGGCGGTTGTAGCGTGTAGGGATTGTAGGGGTCCATATTGGGGCCTTATTCGTGGACATTCGCTTCATATGAGCTATAGTCTAAACTCCTTAAAGGGGGATTATATACGGATTATATAGGGGACTATTATAGGGCTTACTAAGGTGGATACTAGGAGTTTAGACAATGGCTCATATGGGAGTTGTTCGACCTTATTCCTGCAGACTCCCTCAAGGTGGAGCCCTTTTATCCATGCATAATTGTCATATGAGCCATAGTCTAAACTCCTAGTATCCCCCTGAATTACCCTAATGGTAGTCCCCTACATAACCCCCTATGTAAACACCTTTAAGGAGTTTAGATTCTGGCTCATATCTTCACCCAGTCCCGAATCGTTTTATGAGAAATCCCCGCAGATGTATAGCAGGTTTCAAGCTCGAGGTCGAGACTTGAGGGTGACTCTGGCTTTTGACCTTTGAGTGGCCCGTGTGAGGAGTCCAACATCAACTTTACCAATTCCATAGTGGCCCTAAACCTTGATGCCTAACCCTAAGCCTAAGTCCCTTACTCTGAACTGCATATCCTAGAGCCCTAGAGCCCTAGAAAGGCTGGATGCATACCCCGCCATACCCTTCCCCCCAAATCCTGAATCCTATATAGACACCTGATCTGAAACCCTGGAAGCCCTGATTGGGCTTCTGTTAAGACATCTAACCATGATATAAACACATAGTGACCCATAGGGTGTCCTTGTTAATGACAACTGTGGCAACTTAGTCGAAGTTCTATATACAGTTCATAAACCCCCACAGTTTCCATTTTCCATGTGTCGTTTGATTTTCAAGTTGAGCGCCCATGTGTCTACACTACCCTCGTAACAGCAACCCAGCTAAACAAGCCCCGTATCCCTGCTGAGGTGATGGGCCTGATCACCGTGGTTTCGTGGCGTCCCCGTACTTGGTGTAAGCGACCGCAGTAGACAGGAAAAGGGGTTGTGGGGATTCCACCTATGTTTTTGTGTGAATCCGGGTATGGGCTTCGGCTAGAGAGCTTAGGGTTAGGGATGTGGGGCTCCCTCCTTTAAGGAGCTGTCGTTTTGACCTCTTACACAGCTAACTCCTGTATAGATTCTCATGGCCTCAAAGGCTTCGTCCTCACAGCCCCACATGCGGCAGAATACACCAACAGCAGGCACCCAAGTTTTACCTACATACATATGTATACATAATAAGAACGCACCCGCGGAAGTGTCTTCACATAATCAACACCGTACCCCCAAATCCTAAACCCTAAATCCTGCCTCTTACATGGCATGGTTGAACTTTAAGCTTAGAGCTTTAAACAAACCTAGCAGCCTCAATCCAGGCAAATGATAAACCCTGAACCTCAGACCTTAGCTAGATGCCTCCCTAACTCAGAAGCTTGATTCCAAGAGTCTCAATGCCTGAAAATGGATACAGATCTGGGAGTGCCTCAAAATTATTGCTCCCCTTCTCTGGGCATCTTCATACGGACAGTCTATCTGAGGAGTACCTGGGCGAACCTTGATTTGGCGAAATACTCATGTGGGGATGCAAGGATCGAAGAAAGAACGCACTTTTGCAACAAGAATGTTGATCGTTGCGAGGTTAGGTTTCATATCCAGAGTGCGTGCTTTTTGCTTGGTTTTGCAACCAAGAAAGAATCAACAGTATAGAATTATTGTTGTCTGGTGCCATTTTGGCCCAGTTTCCCAATTGGGACAGCTGAGCTCAATACCTTCGGCTCACTTACAGAAGCCTCTCAAAAACCATCCCTATATGACATGTGGCTTTCCGATGCAGGACCGCTTTTTTGGAGACTTTTTTCCAAGCAATACAATTTATTGGGCTTTTTATGCCCCCCCTTTTTGGAAACCCCATATAATCACCACTAGCCCACTCCCCCCATAATCTTCTCAGTACCCGTCTGTGTTGCTGGGGTAACCCTAAACCCTAAACCTAAGTGCAGCGTGTTTCGAGAAACCCTCATGTTGAAGACCTTCCGTGACTGATTGGCAATTCCTTTTGAATAAAGAACTCCGTATACATGGAATGTTGTCAGCAAGCGGCTACGGTGACTAGATTAGATCTGCGCACAAGATTTATTGGGAGGTGTTGAGAATGATTTTCCAGTTTTCTCCTGACCTGGGTTGATACCCGGTTTGCTGGAGATCCTGTGTCCTTCGCAAAGTGGATTCCTTCACTGAGGCTCCTCTGTCGGTGCATCCCCCCGCAGGCGCAACAGTAAGCTTTCCATTCCGCTATCCTGAGATTCTAGCGAGAGTGGTTCGTCGAGGAGCAGAGGAGGTTTACTGTTGCAGGAGGGGATAAATCGACACACAAGGCGGCGTTCTTGCCGACAGGGCATTTCTCAAAGTTCGGGTACCCTTTATGCCCCCAACAAGCCTATGATCCTAATGTTGTGCAGGCCCAAGAAGGGATCCCTAACTTTGAGAAACGCACATTTTCTGGCATGCAGCAACGCCTGGAGGCCCCTGGTTCCTGATTGCCAGGAATCAGTAGCGGCTACACGAAACCAACATGGAACCCCAAATTGGCTCCTGAACAAATTGAGGTACTTAAGTGCGTTCTAACTGCTCAGAATTCCCGCGCCGCCAGGTATGCTAAGAAGGCATTTGCTGTGCTTTCAAATTGCCACAAGTCACCTAGTACATCAGCTGGTGCCCAGAACCTTCCAACAGGCTGTGCTATGAAGTAAGGCAGCATTTCCAAAAATCGTACAAGCAGTCTTTGAGCTTCTGGGTAGCTGGAGTGACTGAGAAGCAGACAAAAAGGTAGTTTCCATGAAGAGAGGGAACCCTGACGTAGACCCCAATTTGCTATAATCCATGTGAGCTATAGTCTCAACTCCCAGTATCACCCTTAATAACCCTTATAATACTCCCCAATATAATCCCCTATACAATCCCCCTCAGACTATAGCTCATGTAATGGGGACCCCCAAGAAGGTACTCAAGCTCCGTGGTCGCTTCGGTCGGTCCTTTCGTTTCGAGATATCTGAGGAACACATTTGCTGCCAGATATCCGCCTAAACACTATAAGCCCCTAAACCCTAAACCATAAACCCTAAAGTGTGTCAAGATTGTTCTAATACATTGCGACTAGCAAATTGCGGTGCCTGGGATACTACCTCTGCCATACACCGGTCCCCCGAGATGACCGTTTTTTGGAAATGCTATGCCCTCAATGAGGGTCTTTAGGGTTTAGGGTTTAGGGTACATATACATATATAAACCTATGACAGGTTAGGTCGAAAGCCTACACCTGAGCCCTACGCCCGTCTTTGTACACCCAACAGGTAGTTTCCCAAAATAGAGGGGCCATAAGGGGCCCTAAAATAGACCCCGCAATACCACTTATTCTAGAGACCCCAGAAAGGCATCCCTAATTTTGGGGGAACCTTCAACAGCCGAAATGTTGAGTCCTAAGCCGTGTGCCTTTTACTGGTTCCTTTAGACACATTGACTTTCTAGGAGGAGTGCAATGCTCCGGGCCTAGAAACCTCAAAGTAATACGATGTAGCTCAAGAACCACACACTTTGGCATACCAACAAAAAGCTGCGGTGACACTCCCGAACATTTCTCCAGACTCCTTTGGTTGCACAAATTCCTTGACTGAGCCCCGAACCACAAGCTCGAAACCTTAAACTCCTGTGGATCGGTGGGCACCAGTTCGGGCTGAGGTTTAGCCAGGGTCTTCTGGAATCAGGTACTTACCACAAGCCCCAGGCCCCTCCATCAAAGATTGACGCGTCCAGCATAATATTTGAGATGTTTTTCCCGCCTGAATGTTTGACTCGGTTTGAAGTTGTTTGATGTCTTTTCGTCCTTCTGCATCTGTTGGAACACAAGCAGAGCTTCCGAGCGAACTGAAGAAGTTGAATGGTCAGATCGCAGCCAGTCCCACAACACTTTGCACAGCGTACAGCATTGCATGCCCCATCATTGGCTCAAGTCGTGGTCGGCTTCAGCACGTTTGAATCTTATCACATCTGTTGTTCTAAAGTCTGTTTCTGCTTGGCAGCTATGGATGTGGTAGCTTGCTGACCTTCTAAGCTTTTCCTTGCCATGTCGGACAATAACAATGAGTTTGACCTGCACCTGGAGGTCCCTGAAGAGTTTGAGGCGGTTTCGAAGGATTCCAGTTTGGATGAGCTGCCTTCGACCCAGGACCTGGATCTGATTCTGAATGCATATATGGAGATGTTGCAGAGCATGCAGCCCACTAGACCCGAGATCATCCGAGGGATCCCAGCTTTCCGAGTTGTGCAGAAAGCCCCGCAGAGATGGTTGCAGGGGAAGGTCAACCAGCTTTATGCTTGCTCCGAGGTGACCATGCCAATTTTGGGAAAATGCCGACGTGTTTTTTTGCTGAAGGAGTAGGATTTTCGAGTGGAAAGCACGTAGCTTTACCCATGGAAAGTTGAGCTGAGGTGACGACTGAGCTGGACGAGTTCTGGTCGCACAGTTGGCGTACCAAAATGTGGACGAAGTATGCCAGCGTCATCTTCTTGACCAACGGCCAGTTGCCCAAATTGTTATTCTGTGGTTGAGTGACTTCGTGATGCGTGAGTTCTTTTTGTTGGGCCAGGGCTGGTTGGTACTGCTGACATCTAGTTCGTGTTAGCTCTCGTACGTCAGGATAAGATTGGCACAGAGTTCGCTGTTTTTGAACAAGGCAACTGAGCGGTAGGGCAAGGTCATGTGAGGCTCGAGTCTCGAATTGGCACAACAAGGGCCACCCGTGGTGGTGATGGCTGCAAAAGTTTTTGAAAACCTGAAGTGCTCCGTGTCCTAACCCCAGAGTCTGATACTCCCAAATCCTTGGCTTTAAAACTAAATTACATTAAAAACGCCCAACCGAAAATGAAAATCCTGAACCCTAGCCTTCACCCCAAGTAGGTACATCGTGCCCCAACTCTAACTCACAACAGTCCTGACACTCTGTGTGCCCTAAACCTTGAAACCTTCAGTCTTACTTCAACAGCTACAGGACCTCTAAAGCCCAAGCCCTGAATCCTAAACCCTAAGCCCTAAACCCTAAACCCTAAGTCCCGCAACAAGGATTACCGGCCTTCCTTGTCGGGACACTCGCTGCCCTCGTCACGGGTGGCCTCTGTGCAGCCAGGGTTTTGCCCGCCTGGAGCGGTGGATCGCGTCAGACGCACGGCTGGCGACTTATGACGGTTTAGGCTTTAGAGTTTATATGGGTTAGGGTTTAGGGTTTAGGCTTTAGAGTTTGTGGGTTAGGGTTTAGAGTTTATATGGGTTAGGGTTTAGGGTTTAGGGTTTAGAGTCTATGGTTTAGGCTTTAGAGTTTGTGGTTTAGGGTTTAGAGACTTATGGTTTGGGATGTCCTCAAAGTAGACCAATCTAATGGGCTTCAACCCCTTCGTTTGGGTTTGGGGAGTTTCCGAAATTGGTGAATCCTTTCGCTGAGGTCCTTTCTTTGAGGGTGAACAGGGGTTAGATGAAGTTTATGAAAACAAGGTCTTTACTACCTTGTCCCTCCAACTGCTGGTGTCAGGACACTCAAATCATCACAACAGGCCTGAAACCGTCAAGCCGCTTCTCCCTTTTCGTGAGTTTTTGAGCAGTCACGCACGAGGCGATGAAAGTACCCAATTGAACAGGATCCTCCTTCCTATACCAAAGGTGACAAGTGATTCAGTCCCATGTTGAGCTGCACTATAGGTTCAAGTCATCCATGGAAGGTCGGGTCGTTTAGCTTCAAACGACTACGCTACATATCCCCTTAACAAGATTCTTACAGGATCAGAACAGCATGGGCACACATAACTCTGTGTGTACATCCAGAAACCATCCCCTGTTGTAAAGAGGAGCCAAGACACCTGCAACATTCCATGAACAGCCTTTGCACGTCACGCTAAGACGCGCGGTAAAACCCCTAAACCCTAAACCCCTAAACCCTAAACCCTAAACCTCTGATAAGTATTTGTTATTTGCATTGCTGGAAGGTATGTCTGGTGCACTCCAGCCGGGAGTTTGGCCTACTACCTGACCATGCTTTGCTGGCGGTCCAAGAAAAAGGTGGGTCCGATGCAAGACCCATTTGGGTGGTTGTCAAAATTATGGTCCCTTTTGGGTACCCTAAATATTAGGTGCCGTATGCTCATAGGGGTCCAAAAAGGGACCATAATTTTGACAGCCACCCATTTGTAGCAGCGATTCTTACCATTTGTAGCACTGGTATCATGCTTGTTTTGATTATCTGACCTCAGATCATTGTACGTAAGCATGTTTTCACTGTTGTTCTGATTCAACTTTTGATTGCGCGTTTTTTCCAAGTTTCGTGTCAATACTCCAAACGCTTGAATTCTCGGTCCAAGAGCATGAGGATTCTGTTTCTGATTTTTTGTCGATCTGATTCAGATTTGAATCACCCACTGTGTCACGCTCACCCCACTAGTCCAAGGGTGTGAGGACACACTTGAGCGCTTAACCTGTTCTGGCACCGCCGCCGCACTACGCAGCGCGCCATAGCACGCTGCCACTGGAACCCACCTGAAGCCAGACCGGCTGCCGACTGCCAGTGTGGTCAACACAAGTAGTTCCCCGCCCCCAACTCATGCCCTCCCAAACTTCAGAAATGCTGGTGAGCGCAGCACCATCCCAGGACAAAGCACACAACAATGTACAGTCAGAAACACAACGTGCGCCTGCCTGTTTTATTACTATTACTACTACTGCTGCTGCTACTACTACTACTACTACTACTACTACTTCCACCGCGACCGCCCCCACCGTCACCACCACCGCCGCCACCACCAC